TGGTTGGACACAATACCTTTATTTTATTTTTATGYAGTGCTAAGGATTGAACCCAGCACCCCACACGTGCTAGGCAAGTACTCTACCACTGAGTCACAACCCCAGCCCCTTATTTGTTCTTTTAATGTTAATTTTTTTGAGTTCTTWATATATCCTGGAGATTAATTCTCTATCTGAGGTGCAGGAGGTAAAGATTTTTTTTCCCATTTTGTAAGCTCTCTCTTCACATTCTTGATTGTTTCCTTTGCTGTGAAGAAGTTTTTTGGTTTGATTCCATCYCATTTATTGATTCTTGATTTTACTTCTTGTGCTTTTGGAATCTTGTTGAGGAAGTCAGTTCCTAAGCTAACATGATGGAGAGTTGGGCCTACATTTTCTTCTAGTAGGCACAGGGTCTCTGGTCTAATGCCTAGGTCCTTGATCTATTTTGAGTTGAGAAACCATGTTCTTATAAGAAACTGCACTTTAACATCTGGCAATACATTTATCACCAGCATGGATTCAAGTTTGGGACTTGACCCATCTATAGGATGAGTTGTCCACTTTAAGAAAAAGACCCAGAATTACAAATGTAAAAATAAATAAGCAAATAAATATTCATTTAGCATAATGAATATCATAACACATTATGAATTTAAAAATTTGAAAGATTAAAAACACCATAAAGTATCACAAATGTGATACTCCCCAATACTTCTATTGATTCCTGACACATTTCTATAATATGCTTTCCTTACCATTTGAATTATTTATTTAATTGGTTCCCTTATGAGAATTGCTTTTGTTATATTTTCTGTGGCAAGAACTGAAGGTCATTTGTCTTTCCCTGACATGTTTGATAAAATTTTATTTTCTTGATAGTTTCAAAAAAAAATTTCAGATTCACAATTTATTTGTAGTGAGAGATGTAATTACAAATTATCRAATTTCAGAGAATCTTCATCATATCTTTTGTTTATGAGTTAAAATTGTGGTCTCATAAAGTGCTGAGTCCCTCCCAAGGTCTTATGAAGGTCTATGCAATGAGGGTCCCTGAAGCATAAGCTTTATAAGCTTCAGGTCAATCTGATTTGTTTCATATTATATCATAAATGTCTGTTTACTTCTCTGTTTTAACACAGGCTCAATTTTTGCCAGTCAGTTGAGATCAAAATGAAATTTATAGACATTATGATGAAATTTATGGACACATTTCTCAGCATAATAGAAGAGGACTTTAAATTTATTCAATATAAAATATYGAATGTGATATTGTAATCCCCCTAAAGCTTATTCTTTCTTCTGACCCAAGTTTTTGCACTAAATTGACTCTTTGATGTTCTTTGTTTCAAGTTTTTTTCCTAATATCTGCTATAGTGTCCTGTACTTTGTATGCTCTAAACACATAAATGCTTTTTTACTTTTTAAAAATTCTTCTTAGTTATGTATAATATTAGGATTCATTCTGACATAATCATAAAAGCATAGAGTATAATTTGTTCTAATTCAGTCCCCAGTACTTCCCCTTTTCTCCCCCTATTCATTTCCCTCTACTCTACTGACCTTTCTGCTACACACACACACACACACACACACACACACACACACACATGATTAGTGTATTGTGAATATACATGATGTTGAGATTCACTGTGGTATATTCATATATGTACTTAGAAAAGTTAGGAACGATTCATTCCATTGTTCTTTCCTTATCCATTCCTCCCTGCCTCAATCTCCTTCATCTAATCTACTTCAATTTCTTCTATTTTAATGGAGCCCCCTCCTTTTTCCTTTTATCTCCTTATTTTGGACKAGCATCTGCATATCAGAAAAACATCTGGACTTTGGGGTTTGGGGATTGGCTTTTTTCACTTAGTATGATATTCTCCAGTTCCATCCATTTACCAACAAATGCCATAATTTCATTCTTCTTTAAGGCTGAGTAATACTCCATTGTTTATATATACTACATTTTCTTTAGCCATTCATCTGTTGAAGGGTACCTAGGTTAGTTCCATAACTTGGCTATTGTGAACTGTACTGCTATAAACATTGATGTAGCTGTGTCACTGTAGTATGCTGATTTTAGATCTTTTGGATATATACTGAGAAGTGGGATAAGTGGGTCATATGGTAGTTCCATTCCTGGTTTTCTTTTCTTTCTATTTTTTTTTTTTTTTT